GGAGGAGGAGGTTGCGCGCCATTTTTCGCACTCTCCGGCGACGGCGCCTGCACGCCCCGGACCGCGCCACGGCCACGGCCACGGCCTGGGGGCCCCGGGACGAGCGGACAGCACGCCCTCGCACCTCCGGGGGAGCTGGGCCGCGCCTCGCGGCTGGAGGCTGCGCCATCGGCGCGGATGCAACGTGGGTGCGGGCCGTCGGACCCGGAAAGGGGGCCCCCCTTCGAGCGGGGGCCCCCACCCGACCGCACGCGCCCAGAGTCGAGGGAGGAAGAGCCACCCCGACCCCAACAACTGGCGATCACCAAACGGCCCTGGGCGATTGCCAAACAGCCCTGCCCTGTTCGATGCCTTCCATGGGTGCGTTCAATAAACGACTTCGCTTGTCGGGGTGATTAGTGTGGGGTGGAGTTCCTGCTCTCTACATCGCCCTGCCGAGTGTCCACCGCGACAAATCTGGGGGTCGTATACAGTCAGGGCGCTGGAATTCGAACCGATTTGAACTCAAGTCTTCGGGCCGTTCCTTCCTAGACCTATGTCGTGGAACATGTGTTGTGGCCTAGGCTGGCCGTGGCCAGAAAAGCTTGTTCGTTCCTTCTTCTTGGCATCGCTCTCGGACGTGTGCATGTTTTTTCGGGGTGGACCGTCGAGGAGCATGTTGGGCTCTCTTCTTTTACACACACGCACGAAGCCGAAGAGTTCCTGGGGAATGGACGTCCGAGCGATGGCGAGTACGACGTGCTCCTTACGGCAGCACGATGACTGCAGGCACGGATGCGGGCTGTCACCTCGCAAAGGATGTTGTACAGAGCCTCCTGGCCTCGGCTCAAGTCGGGCACGTCCCTCTATAGGAGGAATAGTCAAGAATAGTAGAAAGAGAGGTCTGGGGACAATTGCTCGTGCTCTTTTGACTATGTTTGCTTCTTGTTTGTTATGTCTTTTGTTTCTTCCAAATCCGCCTTTAGGAGGACATGCCCGACCCAAGCCTCAACCGAGGAAGGGCGTGTACACCTTGCCAGGGCACATGATTGACCTGGCCAGGCATGGCCGCGGTGTGCAGGTGTCTCCCGTGCTTGCTCCGCCGCTGTGATCGGGGGACGAACCAGGACAGAAACATACACGCCGGTCGTTGAAAGTACAGTAGGTTCACGCGGCGTTGGCGCGCCGGCGACGCCGGCGAAGTTCAAGGTTGAATTCTGCGACGCGGACCGAGGGATGCGATGACGCCACAGGACCCGACGGAATTCAACCTTGGACGATCAGGGCCGCGATCGATTCCAGGTTGAGCGATCGATGCGGTGTCGAAAACCTTTGCGCGTGCCGACGCCGCACGAACCTACCATAGATTGTTTTGGATTCCCAGATCCCAATCTTCTTTAGGCGCCTTCCTACTTCGATGACCGAGTGGTTTCCCCTCTTCCTTCTTCAGGGGGCGGGCCGAAGTTCAATCTATGTCCAACGCCTTCCTACTTCATGCTTCTACCCAGTTCTTCCGACCGACGTGTAAACGTTCAGAGGCCCGCGCGAATTTCTCGGATCGGCGCTTGACCCCTCTCCCTGGCGCGCGGAGCGGGCCAGGGACGGCGCCGGCGGCTCCGCCAGGGGGGCCCCAGCGCCGACCCGAGAAATCCGCGCGGACCTCCGAGAGTTTCTGTTTATCTCATTGATTGTTCCCTTACGTGAGCCTCCGCACTCGGGCTCGGACAAGACGTCGCCCTGGTCGTGAGGTGGAGAGGTGCGGCCGCTCGAGCGCGCCGCTTCTGGCCTGCGAGCCGTGGTGGCTGGCCTCTGGCGGAACTACCTGCCGGGCCCAGCCCTGGTCTGCAGGGGCTCAAGGCCTCGAACGAGAACTCCGTGGGGCTCGGCAAAGCGAAACTGCGCTTCGAGCCATGGCTGGTGTCGTCAGGAAGTTCATGCAATGACGGAAGCAGGCAGTGAGAAGACATGCGAGCAAGCCAATCGAGCTGTGGGCAGTCAAGCAGGGTAACATTCAAGGACGTAAACATGCGAACAGGCGAGCACAGCTTGCCCATCTGGACAGAAAGAGAGAGAGAGAACATCTCGCCACACATAATAATAGTGATACTACTGATCCGATTAAGGAACAGCAGGATACGGATACAAATGAGGGCACCCATCGTGTCACTTACATGATGGTTAGTATGGCAATGAGGTGGCTAAAAAGAGCAATTCGAGAAATCGAGAGAGAGAGAGAGAGAGAGAGAGAAAAAAAAAAAAGAGAGAGAGAGAGAGAAAGAGAGACAAAGAGAAAAAGAGAGAGAGATAACGTGAAAGAGAGAAAGACAGAGAGATGGCGTCTGGGCAGCAACAAATGGAGATGTGGTGCACGGGGGTGTCTGTTTTCACACGCGTACGTGTACACTCACAACTACCCAGGCCATACACCCACATATACATCTGCGCAGAACAGACGTGCTCGGCGGGTTGATGACCTTGTGCATGTCTACAGCTGCATCTGCGCAATTCAGTTCGTCTTGCGCTGGTAAGGAAAAGCCTTCCCAGGGAAGGAGCAACCTTTCAGACACTTGTTCCTCGAGCCGGATTATGGACGGATGTTGTCAGTCCTTGGGTTTTCCTTCACGCCTTCCAGATCTCTTCCTCGCCTCCCCCCCCCCCCGGCTGGGGCCCGGCACAGCCTTCCTCTGGAAGGCCTTGCCTTCCCAGCCGGGGGGACTTCCAGCAGGGGCCTCGGGGAACCGCCGCGGCCCTGCCTCGCCTCTGTGCAGGTCGGCTCGTCTCGTGCCAGGGGGGCGCACCGCTAGGCGCGGGCGAAGAACCGATAGGGGCGGTCCGGGAGAGGGCCTCGCCTTCGCGGATCGATGGCGTTGAACACCCTTCTTCTGCGGAAGGCTGCGCAAGGTCGGCGGAAGGCGGCGGAAGTAAGACGAGGCCGCCTCCGCCGGGGCCGGCGGAAGCAGGTGAAAAACGTCCCTCCAGGAGATGGCAAGTTTTTTGGTCTCATGGATAATCTGAAACCGCCGCATCAGCATCCGCGGCCTCGCGGGTCAGGCCCCCTGGCCGCGACCTTCCAGATACGGGGCGCTTTTTCGCGGATGCCCGCGCGACACGTACACGTGCGACCACGTATCCGCGGGATCGCGCCCCTGAATCCAGACCGCGATGCCGCGGATGATGTTCACCGCTCGTGAAGTTTGCGCTGCGCCAGGGAGGCGCGACGCCAGCCCCCCGCCAGAGCCACTGACGTGCACGTGCACGTCCTTTGGTGACGTACGCATGTGCGCAGACATGTGCACGTCCGTTGGCGACCGCGTGTGTGTCTACAGCTGCACTTGCGCAAGTCAGTTCGTCTTCTGCCACGGACCCAGACCCCCGACGTCACGATTTGTTCATGGCGTCGACCCCCAGAGGTCTCGACCCAGGATCGTTTTTTCGTCCCGAGTCGTTCTTTGACGGTCTCGAGGGCTGGTAAGGACCCGAAGAGGCCGAACATAGCGAAAAACCTCCCGTCGTGATTGTCTCATGACCCGAGTCGGCTACGCGCAGGGGGAGCCCAGACAAGGGTGACCTTTGGTGCGCGGCCTCAGGGGGGATCTCTGGGGACACCACCAGGCGCGCGAGCCGCTGCTATCGCATCGCGTTCAGAGATTGGGGGTCCCCATTGGGCCCGCACCAAAGGTCACTCAGGCGAAAGGTCACTCTTACAGTGGAAACCCATGCCAAAAAACACACTGCTTGCCTCCAGGGTGCCCTGGGTTTCTTGGGTTCCGATGGTTTTGCTATGGATAGCGTGCCTCTCCCACACGAATAATCGATGGACGTCCTGGGGTTTCAGGGTTGGGTTTCTTGTGGAAGGCTTCTTGTGGTTGAGCTAAGTACTATTGCACGTGTATCCGACAAATCTCCCGTCGTGATTGTTTCATGGCCCGATGGGGTCTCGGGAGGCCAGTCGCGCCAGTCCTCTGCCAGCGCCACTGACGTGCGCGCGCTCGGTGCCCGCCTCCCGGCGTGGCTCCTGCCGCAGCGGGCGAAGCCCGAGGCACCCGCGCGGAGGCTCGAGCGGCCTTGGGGGGGAGGGGGGAGGGCTGCTTACAGAAGCACCCCTGCTCCTCAGAAGGCGCGGGCCTCATCTAAGGAGATGTAGGGCCCGTGCCTTCTAGGAAGCAGCCTCCTGCTGAGAAGCCCTCCCCTCTCCCCCCGCCACCCTGTGCACGCCGCCACCTCACAGTGGGCAGAGGGCGCTCCGGGTGCTCCTGGCCCTGCGCACATCCGAGGCCCACAGGCCCAGACCCCCTCGGGTCATGCAAAAATCGCGACGGGAGGCGTTTCGCTGTGTTCGGCCTCCGAGGGCCCTCGCCAGGCCCCGCGACCGTCAAAAACGGCTTGGGGTGAAAAGCATGTCCCGAGGAATTGGTCGAGACCTCCGGGGGTCGAGACGTCATGAAAACATCAAGGCGTCGGGAGTCCGGGAACGGCTCGAGGTGAGAGGTCTTCGGGCGTTCTCGTCGGCTCCTGCCGACGTTCCAGCCTCGGGGTGTCTTCGGCAGCCGCGCCTCGCCGCGGGCGTTCTGGGGGGCCCAGATCGCCCCGACACGCCAGAGGCTCACCGAGCGCGTTCTGCTACTCGCCAAGTGCCTACTGGCAAACGTCCGAAAAAGAACGGCCCTCCCACGCGTGACGGAGGGTAAGTTAAGGAACAAGACGACCACAAAAACATAATAACAGTACCTTTTTGGCGCAATTCCGCGAAAAACGGCTGAAACCGATTCGCAACAAACATAGGCCAATGCTCGCACCAGTTCGTCCGTGATGCCGCAGTTCCCCCAAGTGCGCAAACGGCCTGTACAGGGCGAGCAGTTGCTGCCGTCCCCTGCGTCATTGCCGCGCCAAAAATCAAGCACCAACCTATCCGCGATGGTGTTTTGAGGTGTGCGGAGCAGGGTTCTTGTTTTCTTTTATGTCATTGGGTGTCCTAGGGTGACATAAAACTTTTGATTGACATGAAACACAGGGCACGTGGGATTTACATACAACTCCAAATCGCGCTGCCGCTCGAACCGTCCGAATGACATAAAGAAAATTGAGAACTGTTCTGGGAAATCCGCCGGCGAGGACTTTCGGTTTTTCCGCTCGCCCGCCGGGTCTGTTTTCCGACGCCTGGCGGTCCCTGGAGATTGCCGCCTCGAAGTCGTTGCCGCCCTGGAAGCGGGCGTGTGTTCGAGTGAGGTGACGCGGGAACATCTGTCTGCACGCCCCGATCAAATAGGTTCGCGCGCCAGCCCGCGCGCAGAGGCGGGCGCCCAGTCGGAAATTGTGCGCCTATTATGTGTGCATGTCGGCTTCCCGTTCCGCATACATCCCCCGCGGCGGATCCAGGCCTATTGCGACTAGCTACTTTGCGAGCAGTGGAACGCGCCTGTCTACACCTTAGGCGATGCTCAAGAAAACCTAAGTTTTCGGCCAGAGTCTTGATTATTCTTAACTTGCCAATGTAAATCCCAAGATTTTGATAGAAGTTCTGGGTTTTTCTTCAATTTCTGAGACTCTGAATTTCTTAACCCATGGTTTCTTAAGCATTTCGCAGGGTGTAGAGGCACGAGGCCTGGCCCAGAAGCCAAGCATGCGGAGGAGGCGTCGCCGCAACGGGTTTTGGGGGGCTCGGGCCGTGCTCCAAGGGGGTCTCCGTCTCGAGTGGCCGAAGCCTCCGAGGGCCCCGCGGCGTGCTCTCGTGGGATGTCGAGGCCACCGCACGGCCTGCCTCCACACTCTCCTCCTCCTCCTCCTCCTCCTCCTCCTCCTCCTCCTCCTCCTCCTCCTCTGCCGAAGGGTGGCATTTACCAGTGACCCCCATCCATAGGGGACCAAACAATGGCGTAAACATAAAGCTCGGAGGTCACGCGGATTTCTCGGATCGGCGCCGAACCCCCCTGGCGGCGCCTCCAGCGCCGCCCCTGGCGCGCTCCGCGCGCCAGGGAATGGGGTCCAGCGCCGATCCGAGAAATCCGCGTGGACCTCCGAGTTTTGATGTTGTTGTCATTGTTCGTTCCCCGACTTTCGGCCCCCAAGGTTTTAAGGTTCCTGGTTGCGGCCGACCAAAAAGGAAGCGAAACGAAAGCCCTAAAGGGAACAGACGTTTCTCACGCGAGCCCAAGGCGGACAGAAAGCGGAGTGCCCAAGCGGGGAGGAATGCATGGTCGAAACAGTTCAGGCATGATGAGTGGTTGTGTGGTAGCTGGATACGTGTTGGAAACTAATCGGACAAAGAGAAGAAACAGCGTGGAAAGGCGCAGGCCGTGTCTGGACCTGAAAACGGACAGAAACTTGTCATCGAACACGAATCAACAACGGAGCTCAAAATTGAAAGACAACAGAGGCTTGAACATCAAAAACACGCAAAGAAAATCGCACCAACACGGGAGACAAAACGTTGATCTTGAGACGGGAATAGAAAAAAACGTCCTCAGCGTGTTGAATAACATATGCCTCCCCCATCGTCCGTGTAGTGGCCCGCAGCGCCAACAGCGCAGTAGGCTTCGTCCTGCAAGTTGCCTGGAAGGCACGACGAGGGAACGGCAAAGAGGCGACTGGGCAGGGCCCATTTGGATCCGATGGGACCGATTCGACATCGATTCCGGCCAGCTCGATCCGATTGATGTTCGATGTTCCGACGATTTTTTTCGGCTCGATGCTTGCAAGGCGCTGTTGCGCATCGCGGCGCCGCCGATCTGATTCGGGGTTGTCCCATGCCGATGAAGCCCGATCCGACGCATATTCAGATTATGTCATCTTTCTCGATTCAGTGTGGGATTTTGGAGTGCTCAGGACTTGGTGAGCCACATCGTGTCGGTGTCTGGCGGCAACGGATCAGAGAAGGACCGGGCTCTGGGGTGAAGGGGGTTGGGGATGAGGAAGATCAGATGAAGGAGGGAATGAGAAGG